AGGTCATCTCCCCTCCTCAGCCTCTGTGGCCACAGTGACGAGGTCCCCTTGTGCCACGCATCTCCCATTCACACACTAACCTCATCAGTTTCACCTTTGAGAGGCAGAGCCTCGGTGGAGGAAGTGGGTAACAGGGATTGGCTTCCACTTCCTGTCTGCTGTCTGCCTTCCGATCCTCCCAGATGTGAGCCAGCCGGGAGACCCCTGCTTCTGTCACCTGCAGTCCAGGGCTGTTCACTTCCGCATGCCCTTCCTGGCCACGATGGACTGTGTCCTCAAACCACGGGCACAGACAAACCTGCTGTGCTCTAAATTGCTTCCATTCGGTTCAGGGATGTGGTCACTGCAGGGAGCGGAGCGAGGAACCCCCACTCATAACAACCGCTAGCAACAGAGTAGCAAAAAGTTAGTTTATTTTGACTTTGTAAATTTGGGCAGCAGGACCGTTTCTATACTCCAGCCCAGACCTTTCCCCTTTTCCCTCACTGGCTAAGTAAGCCGGGGTGGGGGTACAGTTGTGCACATCATCTGCCGCCTACAAAGTGGACATAAGGGTTTATTTGTACATCCTACATTTATTTTAAAGCTTTATGAGTGCATAACTGGGTCATGCCCTCAGGTCGCTAGGTAAGCTTGGCAGTTTGTAATTTTTTACACTAAACTTCTAGCCTGGGTGGGGAAGCTGGATGAGCAGGTGTCAGCAGGCCCAGCATCCCCTGATCGTCCGAATGGTAGCTGGACCTAACCTGACCCAGATGGTCCACTTTTTATCTTTTACTTCTCACAGTCACTGCAACAAGAAAAGTAACATTGGCCTGTGATGATTAATCCCCTTTTGATAACCTGACACACCCAGGAAGAGGGAAGATCAGCTGAAGAACTGCTTCCATCCGATTGGCTTGTGGCCTTGTCCACGAAGCATTTTCTTGATTGTTAGTTGATGTAGGAGGGCCCAGCCCACTATGGACAGCATCTTCCCTAGGCAGATGGGCGTGGAGTAGGTGGAGAGGGTAGCCAAGGGTGAGGCTGGGAGCAAGCCACTAAGCAGCATTCTTTAATTGGTTTCTGCCTCAAGCTCCTGCCTTGAGTTCCCGCCTTGACGCCCCTCCATGGGGGACTGTAACCTGTAAGACAGAATAAACCTTTCTCTCCAAGTTGGTCGTGGTCACGGTGTTCATCACTGCAGCAGAAAACAAAGTAGAATGCACAGTGTAGATGGTGTTGAAGTCCTCGGGAAATGCTGAGGCTCAGGAGGAAGCAGAAGGACACAATCTGAGGGATGGTTGGCTGTCAGGGACCTGGGCAGGAGTGTCCTCAGAAGCCAAGAAGAATCAGGACAAAGGGTAGGAGCACCCTTGAACAAGAGGCATTGCTGAGTCAGCACCACTAGACCAGCGCTGGGTGAGGCGTGGCAAGTGCTGGCCGCAGATTTAGCAGCCTGGGGGGGGGCTCTGGAGACTGTGGCAAGTCATTCTAGTTGGAGATTGGAATTGGGCAGAAAGCACATGGGTCCTTGATTCCCAGCTACCATCTCCCTTTTTGTCTTTTACCTTCTGCTATGTTAGAATCTCCAACTGTTCACATAGCCCATTGCTTTCCAAAGAACCAACAGTTAGATTTGTTTATGAGAGCCATCTTTGGGGTAATGTTTCCATTTTAATCTCTTTCTTGCTTTCCTGGGTCTTCCTTGGTTTTGTTTGTTTTTGTCCTTTCTAAACTGTTTTAGTTTGGTGAGCTCCTTGTGTTTTCACATTTCTGAAGAGCTCATTTTAAGGCTATGAAACAGCCTCTTGGTACAGCTTTGGCTGCATCACTCGGCTTTGGAAATGTTATTTTCATTTTTGGACACTTTTGAGACTCCTGTTTTTCTTGTCAGATATTTTGTGATTTTTTTTAATTCTTCACCCTCTCACTCTCTTTGACTCAGGTGTTATTTTTAAAAGGTTATAGAGTTTTTAGGGGTAGACTTTATTTTGCTTTGTGAGTTTTTTTCTGGTGTGTGTGTTCATGTACATATGCACATGTGTGTCTTCCTCAATTTCTTACCATTTGAGACATGGTCCTTCACTGAACTCGCTCACCAATTTGACTGCCCTAGATGACCAGCAAGCCCAGGAATCCTTTACCTGCCTCCTCCGTGCTGGGATTACAGGAGCCCACATGGCACCTAGCTTTTTATGTGGATGCTGGGGCCCTGAACTCAGGTGCTCACACTTGTGTGGCAAATACTTTAGTAGCTGAGCCCCAGCCGTTTATGTATTTATTTAGAGTCTTGGTGTATAGCCCAGGCTGGCCTCAAAACTTGTCGCAATCCTTCTGCCTCTGTGTCTTGAAAGCTGAGATTATGAAAGTGTACCACTTACAACTCTTACTCCTGAATCACACTTTTTGTTCAAAATTCTGTTACTTTATGACCAATGTTTTGTTTCTGTTGTTTGAAATTTAGGTCTGATTGTCAGCGTGTGTGTGTGTGTGTGTGTGTGTGTGTGTGTGTGTGTGTATGAGAGAGAGAGAGAGAGAGAGAGAGAGAGAGAGAGAGAGAGAGAGAGAGAGAAAGAGAGAGAGAGGAGATTCCCTTTTGTTGGCCCTCCATCAGTCATGGAGAGAGTAGAACTAGATGTACCAACGATAGCATACTCTGCCTCTTTTTCTACTGCATTCCTGGCTGTCCCTGTGGAGCAAAGCTGTGTTGTCATGTGCGCAGGGATTCACTAGTGTTGGACCTCACTGTGACTGTCCCTACCGTTCTCACACACTGCTCTTGCTTTTCTTATTCTCTCTGCCTCTTGCCCTGCCCCCACTTCATTTTGGTCTCATATAGCCCAGGTAACCTAGAACTCCCACCACACCCAGATCATGCAGTGCTGAGGACAGACCCCAGAACTGTGCCTCGGAAAGCACTGAACTGGGCTTCATCCCAGCTACACCCAACTTCGGCTGGGTCTGATATTCTGACTGTGACTCTGAGTTCCTCCTGGTACACTGTTGCATATATCACCACGCATGCTTTCTTTTGAAGTGGGTAGAGTGCATGAAGCAGAACCTACCACCTGACCGTTTTGAGCGTAGGCTCCAGTGCTGTGAAGTGCTGGCCCTTCTGAGTCGCTTGGCCTGAAGTGGAATATATCTGCGATCCCCACTAAGCGTCTTCTTTTTTTAGCAAATTTGTATGGCTCACTAATGTCTACTGCTGCAGCAGACACACACTCAGTCCATTTCTGTCATCCTGGTTTATGATACATTTTTGCGTTTATAGCTTTGGTGGGGGCTGTCAGTTTCCCCCATATGGCCTGGGTTTTCTTTGTTTTATTTTCCGTGTAAATGTCTTCTGATCACTCAGAAAGCTGTGTTTGGATGCCATGGTTACTTCCATAATTATAATGGGATGCAATAGGCTTAATCATTTATTTCGTGACACAGCATTTATTTTCTCCCCACAGTGAACAATGTCGGCATCCAGTGTCTTCGCCTTTCTCTCCTCTTGTCTCCTGATCACGGTGTTCTTTTGTCCTATGCTTCTTCGTACCTCTGATTTGACCTTAACTGCTGAGGAATTCTTCAGACCCCCAACTCCAAATGAGTCAGGCCTCGTTTATCTACGCCGCCTCCTCCTCACCTCGTTCCTCCTACGATCTGTTATTTATACCACTTCCCTGTTTTCATTTCCATTCTCTTTTGTACTTGTCAGAACCCTTGGGCTTTTTCAAACATACTCCTAGAGTGAGCACCTCCTCCATGCCCCGCCGCTTGCCCAAGCCTGTCCTCTGGTAATTTATTTAAGATGGGTTCACAGGGATAGTAATTCAAAAATATATCAAACAAGTCTTTCTGCTAACCTCACACTTGAAAGGTGGTTCCTATGCCCAGGCTTTAAGTTGCTTGGTTCATGCATCCAACAAGTATTTATTGAGTCCTACTGGGTGCCAGTTGCCATTTTAGGCCTTGGAAATACAGGATAAGGAAACAGCCAATCATCTTGACCCTCTTTCAGTCCAGTAGACTTTGACTTCCCTGTGTCAGTCACCCCCATCATGTGGTCACCCTCATCTGCAAAGGCCTCTAGGAAGACAGGGATCTGTAACTGGGTAACTGTTTTATTTATTTTTTCAAAATTACCTTCATCTCTTTATTTCATGTGGGGGGGATGGGTGTGGGTGTGTACAGGGCAGTGCACGTGTGGGGATCAGGAGCAACTTTTGAGAGTCAGTTCTCCCCATTCGTTTGAGGGCAAGCACATTTACCATCGAGCCAGCTCACCAGCCCTGGGTAGTTGTTCTTTGTGTGGTGGGCTGTGGAGCAGGAATAGATGGAGTTTATTCCTGCTCGAGGTTGTCCTGCCTATAGCCTGACTTAGCCACTCAGGGCTCTCAGTCCTCAGGCCTTTCTTACATCCGTGTCCTTACCCACTGGTCTCCTGGAATGTCTCGAGGTTCTTTTCATGACTTCATCTGCTCTGAAGCCATGGAGACCTGTCCAGTGGTGTGAGTTCAAGAGGCATAATGGGTTTTGTTAGTCATATGAATGGCATCTGTTTTGAATAGTTGTTAGCTCGTTACACAAGGATGCTATATACGTTTTCATTCAAATCAGAGTACTTTGGAAGGCTAAAGACTCACGGTATTAAAGTGAAATACATATGTTCAATGGCACTGGAACTGTCTCAAGCCAAGGTATATATAGTCAAGTTGGAACCCTATTGGGTCTTATAAGTTGATCTGATGGTTTAAAGAGTGAGATTATATTTACCTTTGCAAGCTCTGTTCTGACAAGCAGCCTGCTGACTCTGTTAGATTTTCCAGGTAGATTATTTACAGTTAATTGTAATTTGGGTTTTTGTATTCAAATCCTGGCACTCCGTACATTTTTCATGTCTTACTGTGTGGGCCAGGAGCTGTAGTATCCCATGCAACCACAGTTTTGCAGTTTCTTGTGTTCAAAGTACAAATGTCATGTGTTCTTAGCTTCTCCTCACTCTGATGCTTGATATTTCTTTCTTCCAGAAAACCCTTTTGCTGTGCCTCAGAATGGAGGAGGCTAGACTCAGAGCACCTGGCATAGCCTCCAAGAACAGCTTCAACCAAGACCCCAGGGAGAGCCGGGGCAGTGGTGTGGTAACAGAAGAGGAAGTACCACCTATGCCCAGAACCCCCTTCTGAGAACTTCTGAGATTAGGAGCAAACTCAGGGTCCGGGGACAGACAGGGTGCAGGAGTGGGTCTCTGAGCCACCTGTCTGCAAGCAATAGTTCTCTTTGGGACTGGTGGCTTCTGAGAAGAGACTCGGTGTGGACTAAGATGACCAACACCTAGCTGCCCTGGCTGACCCCAGCCAGAAGGATCTGGGGCCATGAGTTGTACCATGGCCCAAACACTGACATTTCCCCTGCCTCCACTCCCTCCAATAGTGGCCCCCTTAGGCCTATCCATGTCAGAATATTGACTGTGTGTACGCACACATGTGTGATCAGGGTGTTCTTTCTATATGTTCATTCAGCTAGTTTTTAATCGAGCCCCATTGCCACTGGCTGTAGGTTCTCAATGGGAACAGGTTACCGTGTGGCTGAAGAGTCTTGCCTGTGTCCTTGTCTGAGGCTCAAGCCTCTTGCTGTGGCTGGTGGAGTGGGCAGGCACAGGGCCCAGCTTTCCTGGAGCATACCAGTGAGGATGGTTTCTGGTGGTATCCATTCCCACAGCAGCAGTAATGAGGAAATATTTCAGCTGGCTTGGGGCAGCCTAGGTTGGATGTGTTGTGTGCACCATCACAGTTTCTGGGAGGTGGGCACGTAACACCCCGTTAACAGTGCAGCTTGGGAAAGGTGCCACCATCATATGGTTAGGAAGTGGCCAGCTCCTAACCCAGGTCCCCTGGAATGGTCATTGGAGCAGGTGCCTGACATTGTCACAGTGAGTGCAGCACCTCCCCAACCCAGGTCCTCCACCATCACTGTCTGAGTCTCCCCCATGAGCTCACACCTGTCACACGCCTGCCATGCACCAGACCAGGCAGTGATAAGGTCCAGGTCCAGGGGTGAGGAATACCAGGCTCCGCCCTGGGATGCTGCACCTTGAAGGGAGAAACCCATATAGAAAAGATGAAGATTCCTAAGGAAACCTAGAACAGAGGGTTCTATGAATCTGTCTACTTAACATGAGGGTTTTACAAGTAAGCCAGGGTACCTGTAACATCTGCCCACAGAGCTCATCATCCCCACCCCAAACCCACTGCCCCCAAAGAAAACATACCCCGGCCCGTGAAGTGACCCTGTCAATCTCCAGAGGCCACACTGACAATATATACATGACCATCCCACCCCTATGAACGAGGCCAAAGCGTCCTGCCCTCAACCCTTCGGCCCATCCTCTTGAATCTGCATCCTCACTTGATTAGCGACACCCCTACACGGGCTGGCCAGCTGCCTACCACACGCTGTGGGAGACAGTGCGCGAGGGGCAGCGGGGTAGGAAGAACCAGTGTGGAGGTGCCCTGGGGGGTCACAAAGGCACATTGTGGAGGCTTGGGTGGTCAGGGATATTTGAGCCCCGGCCCAAACAACACACAAGGCCAACAATAGGATCTAGAAAAGAGGAGTCAAAGAGGAGGCCACGAGAGCCACATGACTGTCAGGTTCCCAAACAAGCTAGGGTGGCCAGGACAAAGTGCAGCAGAGGTCAAGAGATGGTTCCACAGAGGTCAAGAGATGGTTCCACACGCCGATGTCTGTGGTCACCATAATGGTGTACACACACACACACACACACACACACACACACACACACACACACACACAGTGTTTCTCCACTGAGTGCTGTGTGCTAGGACACAGAGCTCTTTCCACTCTGGCTGGCTCTTCATCCTCTCCCCCCCCACATGAGGGAGAGATGTGGACCTGGAGGCTGTCACTCTGCTCGCTCTCTATAGAGGCCGACTGGGTCAAAGGCCTCTGTCTCTGCACCCAGCCGGTTTTCCTCAGATGCACTGCTGGGCCCTGCCCACAGCCTGGAAAGCCTATGCTTGGATCTTGATTAAGGAATGGCACGGACCCTCTCCCACATGCTGAAGCATCCTAGGATGTGGAGCAGCCATTGCCCTGGGGGGTTCTTAGCAGTGGACCAGCTTGATCAGGCCACACGCGCAGCCCCTAGGCAGAGCCTCTACAGGAGAAGGGACCCATCCCCAATGCACAGATCCTGATGTCACTTCAGCAAATAGATCACAGGCAAGACCAGGGGCCCTCCTGCCTCAGTTTCCTCACTAGTGAGAGGAAGGAGTCAAACCAGACGTTGAGGGGACTTCCGGCTTTGGGTGATTCTGAGTGACTCTTGCAGCTGCTTGCACAGGACTTATGGCTGCTTCCTCTGTGAAGCTTCCTCCCTCAGACACAGGAGGCCATGGCCATGCAGACAGCAGGGTACTGAGTGGAGGTGGGGTTCTGTTAGGGAATAGCTGAAGGCCCCCTGAAGATTCTGGTTGAGGGTCTGCATCTCTCAAACATGTGTCTGAGGCTGATTCTGAACACTCTCCAGGACACAGGAGTACCCCCGTCACCACAGGTCAGCACAAGCCTTGACTTTGCAGGCCCTGCTCCTTCCCAGCTGGGTGACACTGGCTTACCCCCCCCCAGTCTCTCCAAGCCCCCTTTCCTCACTTGGCAAACTGGGGTTAGAGGTCAGGCTCTTACCCCATGCCGCCTCACAGAGCTACTGAAGACAAGAGCTGTGTCTGTGTAGATGTGAACACTGGGGTGGGCTGCAAGACCCCAGGTGGCCATGATGAAAATCTGTCCCCTGCCCGCGGTGTCTGTGGCTGGCAGATGTGTCAATTACTAGCATGTCCTGAAAAAAAAAAACACAGAGTAGAGACATGTTCCTGAATAGTTATTGAGCTGTCTCTGCCTCCTCCAACTGTCTGCGCTCCCCCCCCACCTTATTTTCTGTGGCCTCAGACCACAGTACACTCCAGTAGCAACAAGTAGCCACAGGAAGCAGAGAAGGTGATGACACTGTGTGCCCATGAAGGGTCAAGGGACTTCCTTGTATCTGTCTGACATTTTCCCACTAGAAATTGTATGTCCTTAGTGAACAGTTTTATACCCTGTCATCTGTGTGATCTGGGACCTCCATTCAGAACTCCTCCCTGGCTGGCTGTAGTCACCAAGGAAATGGCTTGTTCATCATGTGTGGGAGTGGTCAAGCATCTGATGGTGACTGTCACCAGTGTGCAACAGGCCTTAATCCAAACAGGAGCACACACACACACACACACACACGTTCACACACATTTACACATGTGTATACATGCACCCACACACATAACATGTATACAGATATGTGCACATCCACGTGTGTACATGTATACTCAAACCTGTGAGTGTAATTTACACACGTTTACATGTTCAGTAATAAACACCTGTGAACACACACACATATATATGGGCACAGGTATAGACTCCTGTGTATGCATACACACCATATGCCACATGTACATGTTCACATATGTCCACAAATACACTCACATGTATACATATGCACCTACATGAGAACCATACATACATGCACACACATGATTCTGATCTGATCCCTGGAAAGCTCCGATACTGCAGACAGCAGTGGTGTGTGCAGCCATGCTACCAGGGCAGAGTCACTTCCAAGAAACCCCATCAGGCAACCCTAGCTCCAAAGTCGAAAGAAGAGACTTGGGGTACCAGACAGACAAGTCAGGGATGCCAGTTGAGGTTGTCTTCAGCCAAGAGCTGGGTCTCAGTCATCCTGTCTAGTGCCCCTCCCCAGGTCCTTGAAAACAGCAGGACGTGATGTGGCTGTGCCTTGTGCTGACTGCCACCAGCCCCCACCCCTGTCCATTGCTTACCATTTCAGCCACTGTCCCCTTGACTGCTCCTCACGGCTGGTCCCCAACTCTGCAAGAGGTTGTGAGAGGATCCAGAGCCTCGAGCTCCCAGACATTTCTTGTCTCAATTTCTCCATCTGTCTGCTTGGTTCCCACTAACGGGACTTGCTTGGGAGGTAAACATGAGATTCCCCAGACATTTGGGCACAGGTGACTATCTGAGTGGCCTCCTGGGCATTTCTTGTGTATGTGAAGGGCAGGGAGCCAGCACACTGTTTTCCAGGGAGCTCTGGCAAACACAGTTCACCATGTGTGTGCCAGTGTCTGCCTGGTCAGAGGACTGTGAGGCAATGATGTCACAGGGCAGAGGCGGTGTCCTGTACCCTCTAGAAAACGAGCCTTCGTGCCTGCTGTGTGTCGGGTGTCTCCATGGCTCCCTATCCCTTCTGTAGCCTCAACAATGCGTCTGCAATTCATGGGCTGTGGTTCGAAAGATTGGCCGAGGAGGCCGTCAACGCAGGGACACGTACCACTCACAGGCTGCGCAAATCCTCAACTGTTCAACAGACGCTTGCTGAGCGCCCCTGCCTCCCTGCTTTGTGGCCAGCATCCACCAGAAGCCCCTCCTGTGTAGACAGATGTGCTATGTCAGAGAACAGGCAGTGGCTCAGTGAGGGACTGGGGTCCACCACTGGAGACCTGACTCACCGTGCCTAACAGAAACACTCCCACCCTCAAAATAAACACAGAACATTGATCCCTCCCTCCCACAAAGTGACCTTGGAGGTGGCATTGCCTGTCCCACCCCACCCTGTTTCCACTTCAAATTCCTGTCAGGTAGTCGGTGCTAGACCTGCTAGTGAGTGAGTGGATTTAACCATTAGTCACTCAGTGGTTAACACTCCTATCCTTATGTCAAAGCCCTGACCCGTTTACCCTTGACAAACTCAAACTACCCTCCAAAACATACAGAGTCCCCTTGCAGTCAGTGTCATCCTTACGCACGGGATCAGTTGCCCGAGTCACAGGGCCACCACAGCCTCCCATGTGGCCATAGCTGGTACTTGACTAGAGTGAACTCTGAGGCTTGCCTCTCACACCCAGTCTCTTCCCATTTCTCCCCATGGTCCGTGTTCAAGCTAGGGGGAAATGTCCCCATCTAATACCCACCGGGTGAGCATACGGGCAACGTGCAATAACCAGCAAAGCTGCAGGGTGAGAGCCCGGCCACCCTAGAGGGGCAAGGGACCTTCCTACAAAGGACTAGTTCCTCCCTGTGTCAGTGGGACGAAGCAGGGGCAGGGCTGGGGCAGGAAGGTATCTCTATGCTGGAAGCGCCAGGCTCACGTTGAGAGGGCATGGGGGTCTCTCTCAGATCCCAGACTGGGAAAACCAAATAAATAAATAAATAAATAAATAAATAAATAAATAAATAAATGCTGATATCAGATAATCTTCCCCTCCTGAATCTGATGTAATAATGATGTGTTTTACACTGGCGCTGTCTCCCTGTGTTTGTCTTTCTACATAGTGGTTTTTATAATGATGTCCTTAGTTTTAATAAAGGAGAAGTCCAGTTAACTGTTCTCCTGGTCGAAGTTGGTTTTGATGTTTCAAAAACGCGATGGAAATCTGAGTGGTGTGACTCATCGCCATGGGCTGAGGAGGGAAGAGGACCAGAGTCTGGGGGCTCAGCAGAGGATTGGGAGTGGGGTCACAGGTCCATCCTGAAGACCTCAAGGTTTGTTCAAGGTCCAGGACAGCAAGCAGGGCCAGGCAAAGTCTGTTCTGAGTGGGTGCAGCCTGGGTCACATGATGAGGACAGAGACAGTGGAATAAGGTTTGGGAGCCTGGGCATGACTGTCCTGCTGCTCTATAGGTACTCTGCAGGGGTGGCCCTGTATGGTGCTATAAGGTTGGGTCCCCATCACCACACCAGATACAGAGCCGGGCGTTCTCGGACCCTCCAGAAAACACAGATGATGGTAACTTGTGAACATGGTCACTGACAGTGGTGTGAACATGACTCTAGTGGAATGTTGGAATTGAGGACACTGGGTGTGAGTGTGGGGGGGGAAGCAGCTAGTGGTGTTATGAACCTGAAACTGCTCTAAAAAATCTGTTGCTCAATAATCAAAAGCAAATGTCTCCAGAAAGTAAGGCAAAATGCCTGGACCCATCCCTGTTGCTCAGGGTAGTACTGGATACTGGAACCAGAGTGAGAAGATAGGAAAAGAAAAAAAAATCCCTCCTTGCATATGACATAGAAAATTCCAAGGAATTTACAGAGATTCAGAAGCATGAATTCAAAGAGCTGCAGAACACTGGATGAGAAGCCATTAACCAATTGATTTCCACCTACTAATCTCAAACATAAGAACAAGAACATTTAAAATCCTATAACAGTCACAAGTCCCTCCACCTCAAAGTGAATACTTAGATGCAGATATGAAAATAATGTGCATGACTTAAATACCCAAAAACAAACAAAAAACACCAAAAGAAATTTTAAAAATTCTAAATCAAAGAGAGACATACCTTGATTGTGGATCGAAAGACCTAGCATTGGGTTATAGAGATGGCTCAAAGGTTAAGAGCATTGACTATTCTCCCAGTGGTCCTGAGTTCAATTCCCAGCAACCACATGGTGGCTCACAACCATCTATAATAAGGTCTGATGACTTCTTCTGGTGTGCAGGCAAACATGCAGACAGAACACTATCTGCATAATAAATAAAATAAATGCTTATTGGAATTGAACCCATAAGTGGGCCAATAAAAATTTTAAAAACCCAGAATGATAAACATATCCTCTCCAAAGCTCTGCTCTGAGACAGGCCCGTTTAAAGAAGAAGATACAAACCCTATATAGACTAGAGGAAAATACTTGCAGACACATAGGCACCAAATAGCCAGTAGCCAAAACACATAAAGGAGACTCAGAATTAAACAAGAAAGCATCACATTAAGGGCTGGGGCTGTATCTCAGTTTGTAGAATGCTCTTCTAGCATGCCCAAAGTCCTGTGTTCAGTCTTAAGCACCACATAAATCGGGTGTGGGGAAGCACAGCTTGGAGGTGGAGCAGGGGCATGAGGCATTCAAAATCATCCTCAGTTGCCCAGCCAGTTGGAGGTCTGCCTGAGATTTGTTAGAACCTGTCCCACAGAGGGAGAAGGGGGAGGGAGAAAGAAAATGGGAAAGAGAGGAGAAAATGGTTAGGAAAAAAAACTAGACATGAAAAGAAGGTCACTAAAGGGAGCCCTGAAGGCGAATGATTCTGATGGAGGCCAATTACCTATTTTTATTTTATTGGCTGTGCTTTTAGCCTTGTATCTAAAAAAAAAAAAAAAGACTTAATCCAAGTCCGTGGAGATTCCTCTCAGCCTGACAATTTGGCCTCTTCATACATGCCTTTGGTCCATCCTGAATTAATTTTGCATATGGTGAAGTTTAGATCCAACTTCATCCTTTTGCATGTGAATATCAAATGGTCCTAGTACTGTGAGAAATCATCCTGTGTCAGAAATCAACTCGTTATAAATGTGAGGTTTATTTCTGAACTCTAAATTCTCTCCCAGTGACTAATACATCTCCTAATGCCAAGAACACACTGTCCTGATTAGCATGGCTCTGTAGACATCTGAGCCCTCTCTGTTCTGTTCCATACTGTCTGGGCTGTTCTGATTCCTTGTGGAGGGTATGAACTTTAGGATCTGCCTCATGGTTTGCTCAGTGAAGCCATCTGGGTGCCAAGAGGGACTCTATTGTGTCTACAGACCAGTGTGAGGAGCACGGCCATCTCAACACGGCCACATCTTCCAATCCATGAACATGGGATGTCTTCTCATTGACTTGAATCTTACTTCACTTCCATTTTCAGAGCCCAAGTCTTACCTCTGTGATGCTAATCCTGGTTGTCAAATTGACACACCTGGGAAGAGGGAACTGCAATTGAAGAGTAACCTCTATCAGCCTGGCCTGTGGGCGTGTCCATGAGGGATTACCTGGACTCGTGATTGATGTAGGAGGATCCAGCTCACTGTAGGTGATATCAGCCTTGGGTAGATGGTCCTGGGTTGTATAAGAAATGTAGCTGAACATGAACCAGAGAGCAAGACAGAGTTCTTCCATGGTTTCTGCTCCCGGTTCCTGCCTTGGGTTCCTGTCCTGGCTTCCCTGAGTGATGAACTGTGACCTAGAATTGTAAGAGGGGAGGGGAACAAAACCCAAAAACCTTCCTCTCCGAGTTGCTTTTGGTCATGGTGTTTGTCACAGCAACTAAATGAAACTAGGACACCCTTCAGTTAAATATTAAAGAAAATGAGTTGGTGTAAGACCTCATAACAGAAATCCAAACTGAAACTGCAGTGTGACATCATGAAACACCCAACACAGCAACAAAGTCAAGAACCACAGCAAACACTGCAGGGTACATGGAAAAGGGGGGACATCTACATCACAGTGGGGTGTCAAACAGCCAATCATTTTCTTTTTAAGGGGGCCACGAGGCAGAGGGGGTGCTCAGTAGTTAAGAGCACTGACTGCTCTTCCAGAAGACCGAGTTCCCAGCAGCCACATTAAGCAGCTCATAGTAGCCTGTAAATCCAGCTCCAGGGGATATGATGCCCTCTTCTGGCCTCCACATACACTGTACTCTAGTGCACATAGACACACGGGTGCGCGCACGCACGCGCACACACACACACACACACACACACACACGCGTGCACACACACACACTTGCATGTAATTAAAAACAAGAGATCAATCTTTAAAAATTGAACGTGAAACTAGCATATATATAGCCCAGAAGTCACACTCCAGGCATCTGCTCCAGATGATTCAAACTGAAACCCACAGGAAACCTGCACCGCTCAGGCTGCTCTTATGATTTTCTTCTTCAGGCTGGTGACGAAACAAACTGTGGTGCATCTATACCACAGGATACCAAGTAGCAATAAAAATAAACTACTGATATATACAGAAATCTAAGAATTAGTGTTCAGAGGGGGGAAGTTAAATGCTGTAACATACTATATATTATATGGAAGTTATGTACTGTAACATACTATATATTATATGGAAGTTATATACTGTAACATACTGTGTATTATATAGAAGTTATATACTATAATATGCTGTATATTATATAGAAGTTTTATATAGTGTAGTGTATAGTATATCATATAGAAGTTATATACTATAATATACTGTATATTATATAGAAGTTACATACTGTAACATACTGTACATTATATAGAAATTATATACTGGATGATTCCGTTTCTTCAGCATGCTTAAAGTTTATCAAAGATATGGCTGATGTATTAATGATTGCCAGGGATCAGTGGGAGGACAGAAGGGAAGTGTGTGTGGTTGTGAGTGAGGACAGGAGGGATAGGTCGGACCTTTAGCCCCAGCACTTAAGAGACAGAGGCAGGAGGATCCCCATGAGTTTGAGGCCAGCCTGATCTACATAGTTCCAGTACTGTTCGAAAACAAACAACTACAGAGAGCACAAGAACACACAGCTAAAACATTTAGACCCAAGCCCCGAAGTGACCCCATTAAACAGGTGTGAATGAAAATCTCGAATGATGCCTCCACATGTGTACTGTGACATATTCGTGTATGCACGTGTGCACATGCACAGAAAATAAGTGAATGAGAATGTTGTTGAAATTTTTATAGAATGGGTATTTATGAAAGATACAGCATGAATATATAGGGAGAAATTAAAGTGAAAGGACAGGAAAATATATCAAGGTCACTAATCCCAACCCAGCAAAGCCACCAGAGCTTGTATTGGTGACATCAGGGAAGGGGAGAGGAGAGGGAATGGAAGAAAGGGAAGGAGGGAGTGAAGGAGGTGAAGGGATGGGTGGGGGGATTGGAGGGGAGGGAAAGATCTAAATGACTAAGGAGCAGACAGCTCATGATCTGCTTCCAAACTGATGCTGGAGCTTAGCTCGCTGAAGGCTAGTGATCGAGCCACACCTCCCACAGATTAAAGTAGGATAGAAATACAAGACAGAAGGAAAAGAGCAACGATGATAAACGCACAACCAAGGGGGAAGAAAGTACACACAACAAAGGAGGCTGCAAAGCCAAGAGATGGTTTGCAAGAGAAGCTAATGCATCCCACCAATCCTCAGTGAAACTCTTCAGGATGAAAGTCAGGACCACACAGAGACTCACATGGGGCATGTGGGGGACCAACTCCACAGCATTGAGAGGCAGATCCTGTCAGGGACGCAGCTGGGACATGAACGGGAATAGTGAGTGATCTCACAAAGGACTTCAGTGAAGTATCTGGTCCTGTTCTTCTGACTCTTCTGCAATGTCCCTTATGGTCTCTGTCCCTTTCATAGTGTGAGCATACAGCATGATCTCCCAGAGAGACAGCAACAAGGCTACCTCAGAGATGGAGGGTAGCTCCCACCCAGCACCATGCCTGCAGGCACCTTGATAGTGGCCTTCAAATCCTATCATTCGGTTGCCTCTTTAGTGTGGTTAGGCAATGTGTCAAGCTCCATACATTTATATTGTTTATAAATGACAGAGATATTTGAAAGTGAAATGTCC